CTCAGCAAAAAGAGGAGGATTGGCCGCAGATGTTAGCTCAGGGCTAATCTTCCTCAAAAAAAAATTTAATAAATTAGCTAAAAAAAAAAATAAGTACACAATGTGAAAAAAAACAACAAAAATATTGGTATCTTCAGAGCTAAATTCTTAACATATTTTCTGATATATACAAAAAATTGGCAAATATTTAAATAAGTACAAATATTTTCAAAAATACTAAGCCTAAATCCCTAGATTTACCAATTTTATGAAATAAGAAAATAACGTTTTATAAAATAAAATTTTATGAAGTAAGTGCAATTTTATAAAATTGGTAAATCTTGGCAACAAATGACTTGCCCAAGTTACCGACCTATAGGTGGAAACCAGGGGCCACATTCTACAAAGTCAATTTCTTGACACTGTAGATAGGTATGTAAAGTTACTGGTATAAAATTGTGGTGGAGATAAAAAGGGCGGTGATCTTCCTCCTGAAGTTCAAGAGCGACACCTGTGCTGAGACGGCCGTGCTGAAGTGGGCATGGGAAAGAAATGGGGGAGACTGTGAAATCACGGAGAGCAGATGGAGCTGCTGTCAGCTGAACATTAGGACTGTGTCATATCTTGGAAACATATGTAATATCATTTGAGGGCATTACTATATTTTAAGGAATAAAATAATATTAAGAAGTACAATTTTGCCAGATGATATAATAGGAAATATTGCCAGGAATTTGACTTATTTGTGAAAAATCCTCACATGATTGTTACCATGTTAAACAAAATAAAACAAACCCCACAAACCTGATGCAAGCTGTTACATGCAAAATAACATGCTGGTTACACAACCCTCTGGGAGGTGAGTGTGAATCCAGGTGTCTCTCTCCTCGTTTACTTCGTTACATCATTCCTCGAGCCCACTTGTTGCAGGTCTTTAGCATGTTTCCCAAGTACACACAAGTCAACCATCTCAAGTTCAGGTCTTGTCCCCAGTAAAATGGAAAACATGACAGTGATACCATTTAGCTGGACGATGACTAAAACTGGACAAATATTTTCTCTCATTGGAGATTTGACAGTATTTTAGTTGTATTTAAAATTTGTGATTCTCAAGCTAATGAAAACCTGTGGAACAATTAATTTTGTAAATCTACACATGGAATCTGTAATTCTTTTGTTCAGAGGCAATTACATTACAAAAGAACAAAAATTACAAGCATTTCCCCAAGCAGAGCAGCCCATTTAGGGTAACGCTGACAGCATCTGAGTCTCTGGAGGGTCTCCAGGCACACAGCTGATGAGCACTCTTGTGCTGCTGTTTGCTAAGTGGCTTCATATTCACTAGGAAGGACTTGTCAGTGGGTGGCTACTCAGGATCCCGAAGGATGGGCGTGAGGTCTCTGTGAGGTTTCTGTGGGGTATCTGTGTAAGGTCTCAGTATGTAGTCTCTGTGGGCAGTGAGAGGTCTCTGGGAACCGTCTCTAGATGAAGTTTCTCTGAGAGGTCTCTGTGAGACCACATGAGGTCTCTCTGTGTTGTCTCTGGGTGAGGTCTCCGCATGGGAGGTATCTTGGGGGAGAGATTTGCTATCAGTTTCTGTGGGAAATCTCTGTGAAATCTGTGCTAGGTTTCTGTCTGAGGGTCTGTGAGACCACATGAGGTCCCTGTGTGAGGTCTCAGTATGAGGTCTCTGTGGAAGATGTCTGTGTGAGAGGTCTCTGTTGAGCGGTGTCTCTGTGTGTTGTCTCTGTACACATGTTCTCTGTGTGGGTCTCTCCATTTCAGCTTGCTGCACTTTGTGGAAGATTGAGCAGCAGGAGAAGGGCAATGGGACTTGCTTCTTTCTGTGTTTTTGCTGTTCCATCAGCGTCACCCATCTGTGGCATGTGTCTTGGCAGGAGCCATGGGGCCCATGTCCAGCTCCCCCGTACTCCCAGAACTCACCCCTTGTGCCACTGAAAGGACCCAACAGCAGCCAGGGTCAGGGTCCCAGCCCTGTGCTACACTCTCCTGCACTCTCCAGGGGCCAGGGACTTCTCTGTGACCTGGATATTAGCCCTGCCTCCTGGTCCTGGCTTTGATCTCACTGCTGGGCCCACTCTGGTGGCTGCCTCAGGAATGGGGCCTGAAGCAGGACCTGGCACCAGGGAGAAACCAGTGGCATGAGCAGGCCTATGCCTACTCCTCCTTCCACCCCAGGTCCCAGTACCACATGTTGGGGGTCCTGATGGCCATGAGGGACAAGGCCCATTCCTATTGTCATCTGGATCAGGGGCAGGACTCTCCACCACAGGAATGACGTTCCCTGGAGCTGTGCCCACTGTGCTCCCTCAGTGTGGCACAAGCACAGAATCCCTCTGGAGAAATCGCTCATCTCCCTGCTTTCACATGTGAACAGCGGCCGGGGAGGTGGGAAGCTAGGCTAGGAGCAGAAAAAGCAGGTGGCCGCTCCTGGACTGTGCTCCCTCATTTTGGACAGGTCACTTCTGTCCCACCCTGTGATGAATCCTGTCTGATTGCCTCTTCTCCTGCCGGGCTGTGGAGTAAGCAAGGACTGGGAGCCAGGCAAGACTTCCTACATGGCGGCAGGCCAGTCTCTCAACCTTTTAAGTTCCTACCTCTCCCCTGGGAGCAGTCCTTGGGCCACGTGTTTTGCAAAGGTCACTAGACTGGGAGCCACATCCCGAGTTCCCTGGTCCTGGCTTTCCCGCCTGTTGTTGTCATCCTTTCTAGAGTTCAGCAGGTGATGGTGAGCAAGCCTGTTAAATATATTGTTAAGAAATTAAACTTTTCTGATTTGCTTTACTTCTTCAAGTTTGGCCTTCTGTTTTGGACCTAAAGGTGGCTTCTCAAGGTCTGTGATCTCAGAGCTGGAGCACAGTGGAGACCCTGGGGTGGGGCCACTGGGCTCTTAACTTTTCCTCCCCTCTAGGCCTGTAGATAGCTGTACATCGTCAGGGGGCTCCTCATTCACTGAACCCTTATGGGCACCCCATGACACTTTGCCTCCTTTCTTGGATCCATCTTTTTCAATTCTTCTTCACCCACATCCTGCCCTAGGTTTACGGTGTCTGATCGTCAGATAGTTACTGTTCCATTCATTCAGAACTCCTTCTCTGGGGTTAACATAGAGGGAAGGTAGGTGACCCCTGAACATGGCCATTCATTCATTTGGGGAAAGAGTAAACACAGCCTTCATCAGCCTCCCTGATGCACACACACACCCACACACACAGAGCTAGAAGTGCCATCCTCGGTGCTGCTCTAAAGTGTGGGAAAGCTGGTGGAGGGAAGGGTGGCACTGTACATTTCATTAAGGCTAAGCTAAGAGGGGTTCACAAGGCCCATCTCAATCCCTGCCTTTATCAAGGAGAGCAGTGACTCTTAGGGGCAGGTGTCATCTATTCCCCTTCAAGAGATCAAGGAGCAAGATTTTTCCTGCTTCTTAACTCAGAGCCCAGAACACCTCCCACCCCCAAACTTCCATCCACTCAGCTGACACTTCCTGGAGCTTGCGTGGAAAAGTCTAGCCCTATTGCCTCTGTAAACCTATACCCTACAGCTGCATATGGTTCAAAATACAGTGGAGGCAGGAGAAAGGAGTGTTGAACCAGATCCTGGAGTGGGGTCTTTGCAGGATTTTCTCATCTTGTTTTTAAGAGGAGTTTTTGTTGTTTGTGTAATGACAGTATTATGAAAACATAAGGTGCAATTAAGAGACTAGGGATAACGAATGAGTTTGCAATGCCACTGTCAACCTCCCTCCATGCCCCTCCCTTCCAGAAGCTAAAGTGCATACTGGGCACAGCACAGACAGAAGACACTGTACTACCTTGTTACAAGAAAAAAATGTATATATTCGGGAATATTAAATATCTTGGGTGTGCTAAGAGAAAAACATTTTCTCTACATTGATTCAAGTTTTTCTTGGAGACATGTTCTCCTACCAGCAAAGGCTAGAGAAGCATTTGACGGTTGCCCAGGAAAGACACCTACCCGAAGAAGACAGTGTCTTGGGCAGTGCTGGTGGCAGCCTGGGGCACCTGGCATCCTTGGCCCATGCTTGCAGGGACTGACTGGAGAAAAAGTCTTCTTGGGGGGCAAGGATGGGAGGCACCTCAGGTTCAGCTGCTCTTCGTTGAATCTAACACTTTTTAAGGACTGTCTGTGTCTGACTTGCTTTTCCCTCACCAAACAACTATGGCCCTTGGAGGTTGCTTGGCGATTGCAGGCTATATAACTCATCATTCTCCCTTGCTCTGCATAGAGGGGAAGCCTGTGGCACAAGAACACCCACATACAGGGGCTTGGGGTTCCCGTTATGCTCAGTTAACTTCGTGGCAAGAAGTGCATGGTGAGTCACCATTTTCTCCTCTAGAATCTGTCCAACAGCTGTCATGAGTGCCTGAGCCTCAGCAGTCTCACTATCCATAATCGATCTGCTTTTGACTGAGCCTTGGTTCTGGGCAATGGCTGATATGGGTTTGCATTTTTGCAGAACAGCCTGACCTTTAGCTTTTGTAGGGGGGAAAATCCACTGAAAAAAGAGCCTCATCCTTTTTCTGAAGGGGCTTTCTAGAGGACCCTGCTTCTTCTCCTGCTTCAACTGGAGGCGTTTGCTCCCAATAGGGTTTACCATTCCCCTGACTTGCATAGGGTGGCTCACATTTGTGGCTTGGGAGTTCCACAATTCAAACTTTTCTTCGTGCTCTCGTATGTTGGGCCTCCTACAGCCCTCTCTCTTGTAAGTAGGGGCAATCATCTTGCTCTGGCTCTTCCAGGAGTCTTGAAGTTTTGAGATCTTGGGGTCCTGCTGCCCTCGGCTGCTCCTTTGGGCTGCCATGAGGCCACATAGCTTCTGGGAAGGTGGCCTGTCTCCAGTGGGCACTTTCTGGTGATTGCACTGGGGCACCTGAGAAGCCAAGCTGTCTGCAGCAGGGAGCATGTGTGTGGGACAGTCTTGAGACTGATTCTCTGACTGCACCTTCAATTTGGACTTAAGCTCACTGACAACAATTGTATTAAGGCATGGCTTTCCTGAATCGTTGGAAAACAGACATTCTAGGGAGTAAGACACTTTTACTGGTGCCTGGAGCCTCTAAATTCCTCATATGCACATTTATGGTTTGAGATTTTGTCAGCACATTGGTTCCCAAGATGACTCTAGACTGTGGTTGAAGGTCAGGGGACTCTTTGGCCTCTGCTGCCTCACTGGTGTCTTTGGCCCTCAAAGATTGGGATCCTAAGTTCATCTCTAGCATTGTTACCCTACTGCAGGGGTCTTGTGAGGCCCAACCCCCACTCTCTTCCCTTGGCTCATTCCTGGCCATTGCTAAACTTGGACTTGGCTCTAGGCTGCCCCTCTCAGCCTCCACGACAGTCCCTCTCTGCCAAGTTCTCCCCACAAGGCTGAGTGTGAGGGACTGAGGAGGTGGGCTGCCCTGCTGTCCAGTCAGAGAGGTCTTCAAGGGACCACAGTTGTCACCAGATGGGGTCCCTCTTTGGGCCCTCTGGACTTCCTCACATGCAAGTGAGGGGGCAAGGAGAGGCCTCAACAGGGTGGAAACTGACTCTTCTGTTACCATCTTCTCTCCGGGATGGACCTGGGGAGGTTTTCCCCGGAACTCAGCAAACTTGATCATTGAGTGGGCCCCAGAGACACAGGTGGCTGAGGAAGGAAAGGCAGACTGTGGAACGGGTGAGAGTTGAGCCTTTTTTAACTTCAATACATTTACGGACTTGAGGACCTTAGGGGTAGGCCCCACCTGTGCCTCACCCAAAACCTTGTAATATGTGCTTCCAGCACTCTCGAGTGTCTGCACGAGGAAGGAAATCCTGGGGGAAGTGTTCATGCTGGGTCCCAAACCCTTCAAGATTCCTGGACTTCTGGTTTCCATTTGAGTGTCAGACTTGGGAGAAGCATTGACAGCAAGCCAGGATCGACGCACACTCACGGGGATCAAACCCTCACTGATTTGCCCCAACTTCCTGCTCAAATGGGCTTTCAGGAAGCTTTCTAGATTCTTATCTAAGTTCCTTAGTAAATCTCTTCCTGAGTTACTCCTTGAGAGCTTCAAACCTCTTTCTGACTCCTCAGAGTTCACCTCCCAAAACTTCACTAGGGAGCTTTCTGAACCTCTGGAGAGATCTTTTGGGACCTTCCCCAGGATATGCCCCAGGCCCTTGCCCAGGTCTTGGTTTAGCTGGAACCCCACCTTCTGTGCATCCTTGCTGCTTTCACCTGTAAATGAAGAGGGCTGTGAGGGTCCATGCCTGCCCTTTACCTGACATGAACCTGGTAATTTGTCCTGAAACTGCCTCAGTTCCAGAGACTCTTGGAGACTGCAGGGCAGCTCCCACTGATGTTGCATGAGCCACTTTTTGAGGTGTTGCTCCAGTTGTTCCTGGAGCTCAGGACTGATTGGAAAATTCTCTGGAAGGATGGAGACGACCCAGCAGTCCTGAGGAAGACTGGAAGTGAAGACACCAGAAACTTCTCGAGATCTTTTGACTACAGAGTCTAAAGCCCCCCCACTTTCTAGTTGCTTCTGCAACAAAGACCATTCTGGATGTTGAATCTCAGCTGGGATGATAGACTGTGTCTTATTCTGGGGTGCAGGGCAAGATATTCCACAGGCCCTAATCTGGGGTGGAGAAGAAAGTGGTAGGATTGGGGGAGAGGATTGGAGATGGGCATGGGTCTGGACATGAGCCAGAGGAGGAGGCTGGTATTGAGGTACACTTGGAATCAAGGGTTGAGATTGGACCTCCAGATGGGACAGAGGCTGGGACTGGGAAAGCACTGGAGATATTTTAGCCTGCATTTGAACTGGGCAGGCATTCGAGATTCCATTGAATAAAAAAGAGGGAGATCTTAGTACTGAAGAGCTCTCTGAGATCCAGGCAGTAGCCACCAGGGATTCACTGTGCAGAGAGGGGAGACCCCAGAAAAGCTGGTTATATTTCTTCCATAGATGGTTCCCCAAGACGTTGGGATATGAGAGCTGCTGAGGCCCAGGCAGCTGCTCTGGTTTGCCTTTTGTGCTCCAGAAGGGTTGGGGGGTTGTGGTGTCCTGCTCAGCACCCAGTGATTTCAACATATTTCCCAAATAATTCATGTGGTATTCTGGGCTCATTTGTTTGGTATATGATCCATTTGTTTCTTTTTCCTTCCAAATCTTGTTCTCAACTCTCTTTGTGACTTGTATCTCCAGGGGCTTCTGGTCATCACAGCTGAGCAAAGAGGGATTACTAGCTTCTACCTGTCTGTTTGTGGGATCTTCCCAGAATAAGGCTCCTGGTGGGTGGTGAGAAAGGTGCTCTTGCTGGAAATTGCACTGTGATGAGGACATGAAGCACAAGGCTTTGGCAGCCCCCTGCCACCAGGACAGGGCTGAAATGGGACACCTTGAGCAGCCAAGGTCTGAGATGGCTGGGACAGGAGAGGCTGACAAAGACGAGCTCTGTGGGACGGTGCCCAGTGGGAGTTCCCTTGAGTCACACTGAGCAAGAGTCAGAATGGAGTCTGGTGGTCGGGGGGCAGAGGAAGCTGTCGGAGGTGGAGGGCAGGCCTCTGAATCAGGGGGGCATGGCAGGGGAGGGGAAAGAGTGAGTGGCCAGGGTGAAAGGCTGTCCAGGGGAAGGAAAGGCTCTGGTAGCCAAGAGGCACTCAAGGATGAGTGGGAACAAACAGAAACTGATGAGGTCACTGGGTCCAGCCTAAGGGTGGAGGCCAGAGGTAGAGTGTGCTTGCTCAGAGGAGCCGGGGAAGCCAAGAGGGACACGGTGGGAGCAACCTCTTCTACACGCTCCTGGCATGGCCACTTGACTCCAGCAGGCGCTGTTTTACACACCTTGCCAGGGGGTTCTTCACATGAGAGCTGATGAAAGCCACCCTTGTCAGGGAGCTTCCCCAGGTGGCTGCAGAAGACAGGAGGCACAAGCTGCAGTCAGGAGCAGACAAGATCAGGAGGGCCAGGCAGGTGTAGGCACCTGCAGCCCAGGGTCCCTCCACTGCCCCTGTGCTGACTTCACAGTGCTCCTGCTGTTCCTCACCCCAGGGCTTTAGACTCATCCTGTCCCCATGGCTCCCCCTCCCAGGCTGCCTGCAGCCCTGAGGTCACATCATAGGCTCTGGGAAGAAGGAGGACCAGGAGAGAAGGGAAAGATTCTTTACCTATGCAGAAGTGAAGCCAGGTCCCGAGCCTCCTCCAGTTCTTTCAGGCAGTCTCTACAAGCTAGAAATCAGGAGACTGGGTCTCGGTGGTGAAGCGGGGGCCTAGGGGTCAGGAGGCTAAATGCAGTGTCCCTTTAGGGGAGACCTTTGAGGGATTAAACTCTGGAGCCCAAGATCAGTGTCCAAGGTCACATGATGTCAAAGCTCATGATGGGTAGCACTTTGTCATTTACAAAGTACTTCCACATCTATCACCACTATGTCACTCACCACCACCTTGTAGGGGAGAAAAGACAGCGTCACCTTACAGAGGAATCTGAGCCAAGTTAACTCATACACAGTTGGACCTGGAGGTCCCACCTCCCAATCTAGGCACTTCTGGCCCACTACAGCCCACACGCCCTTGCAGGGCAGCACCCCTTTGGAGACCCCACAGCTTCACCTGAGCACTCTGTTTCCTGAGGGACAAACTCTGCCACTGGCATCCTCGGAGACTAGAGACAAGGAGCTTGGCCCTCAGAGGCAGGAGAGACAGGAGCTAGCTCTCAGGTGCAGGGCTGAATGGCAGATGCTTACCTCTCAAAGCTCCACTTTTCTTCCTAGTCCTGCTGCTCCTTCCCCTCAGCTCTGTATGACGCTGAGAAGGGAAAAAATGATAAAAGGAGGGGCTGGGGTGCAGTTCTCCGTCTCCTCTCTCTAGACAAGCTGCAGACACTCAGTGCTCATGAACAATATGACTTTCTACATTTAACTAATGGAGCTCTGTCATTTCTCCTCTTTTACTTATTTTTAAAGTGGATAAAAGTATTTGTGGTTTCTCTTCTTTGAAGAACGCAAAGGAGGATTTTCTGTGTGAGACCCACCATGGATTTCTTCCATCCCTGTTCTTCCACTCAAGAAACATACATTCTCAGACCTACAGGCCCATCTGAGGTTCTTCAGCTGGTCTCTGCTTCCAGAGACCAGACCCTGCTCCAGCCACTGCTCAGAATCTCTCAGAGGCTCAGCACTGCCCTCAGATCAGCCCAACAGAGACACCTGCCCCAGGAAGGCAGCTTGTGAACCAGTGCTCAGGGCCTGCCCTCCTGCAGAGACGGAACTCTTAGTATCCAGTCCTTGGCCACTGATCACTGTATTTGGGGCTTTGCCGTGGAGTCTGCTACCACACCTGGACCCCTGGTCTGAGATCTTGGGATAGAAATCCTCATGCCTATTCTACCCCTTGCCTGGCCTGGCTTGTCCTAGAAGGTTGACCTATCCTTCCCAGAGTTCATATCTCTGGAGTCTCTCTAGTTGATTTAGAAAAGCGGAGATAAGAATAAGAGAAAAAGACATAATCTCTGTTCGAATTGAGTCAAAAGTTCCTTACCTTCCTGATGTTTCTGTGCTTCCTGGGTGGTGGTGAGGACAGATTACTCGAGAAGCAGGGGAGTAACAAGAAAAAGAGTCCCAGTCCACACAGAAAGCTGAGGAAGATCTCAATCACCCAGGGAGTGGGTGTGGTGCTCAGCCAGGTAGCACTAATGCTTCTCAGAGAAAAGACATTCTCCTCCATCTTCTGAATCACTCTACTCAATCTACTGGACTGGCCGGTGGGGGAGGGGTGGTGGTTCAGCCTCCTTCTCTTATTGCCTCCTCCCCAGCCCTCAGGCAACTGAGCACTGGGAGTTTGCTAGGGGACAGAGCCCCAGGCTTGCATCACAGAGCTGTGGCCTGTCACAAAGGGTTCTGAGGGTGGGGGAGTAAGGGGAGGAGGCTGAACCACCACGCCTCCCCCACCATCCTGCCCTGTAGATCACTCCACGCTCCTAGCCTTCTAGAGAGCCTCCTTCCAATGTTACTCTCATCCTGTCAGGGTCCTTAGACAATTTTCTACTCATTCCATCTGGGACCCAGATATTACCTGTGTTACCACGCCAGGTTCATTTTTGCCCACCACGTGGAAAGCCAAACACTGAGATGATGAGATTGCAGCAGAAAGAGAGTTTAATCACAAGGCAGCCATGTGAGGAAGCAAGAGCACGAGTCTCAAATCTGTGTCCCCGAAAATGGAGACTCAGGGATATTTATGGGATAGGGGGCAAGGTGGTCTGAAATGTGGAGATAGGTGATTGGAGGTGAGGAGTGGTGAGGTAATTGATGATCTGCACAAGTGTAGTCAGACTTTGTGCCTCTTCATAGGACCCATGTTCACAAAATGGCATTAGAACAATCTGAAGGTGGAGTTTATCCTCTTTACATCACAAGGTCACCTATCAGACATCTGCATAGGCCCAGTTGATGAGTTGGTGGTCTCAACTGGCCTGGAGTGGACAAAGGGGTTCTAATTCCGGAGAGCAACTCAAACACCCATTACCATGGTGACCCAGGCTTCAGGGAGATGTTATCCATAGGAGCCTAGTGGGAGTCAGACAGCATATTACCTAAACAGCACAGTTAACAATGGGTGAGTTAAACAGCTACAACCTATAACCAGTAATTGCAAAAAGGACAAAAATTTTAGTTCCTCGCTTCTTAATCATCAATGGCTAACTCTTTATGGGTTTCACCTGGCTCCCTTTGTTCCTTAGAGATCTTGACCTAAGGCTCATCAATTTCATTACTCTTAAAAATCTGAAGTTGAACCTGGAATTTTAGCTATTTCCCAGAGATTTTTACTCTCATCTTTTTACTTCTTTCTGTCCTCAACTCCAGCTTCCCACATAAGGTTTTTGTCTTGTATAAACCCAAGCACAGTACTTAAATTTCTTTTACATTCATTGAGTTTTGTGAATTTTGAATAGTGTTTGTTTTGTCTCATTTTCTATCAGAAGGACCTACACACAAAAAAATAAAAATAATTTTTATTCATAAATCTAAATTTGAAAGAATTATAAATATTAAACCTTCCAGTGACATTTTTATAAGTTTGAGGCATTTATAATTCTGGAGTTAGTAAAGCTTTAAACTGCACTAAGACTTCTGGGACATGTTGTACAGACAGACACACACACATACATACACATAGACACAAGCTCATCCTTTCACAAGCCAATCCAGTATTTTCAAATCCAAGAATCCATAATTTTGTACTTAAAAAAATTTTTTCACATGTTGTCTTCACCCAATTTCTTCTTATTTTGCCAAAATAAAAACAACACCCACTCTCCACATAAATTTTAAAACGTATTTTCTTAGTCCATTAGGACGCTGTAACAAAATACCATAGCCTGGGTAGATTAAAAACAACAGAAATTTATTTCTCACAGTCCTGGAGGCTGGGAGTCCAAAGTCAAGGTGCCAGCATGAATCACCTTCTAGTGAAGGCCCTCTTCCAGAGTCTTCATGCTGTGTCCTCACACGGTGGAAGGGGGCTAGGGATCTCTCTGGAGGCTTATTATTAGGCACTAATCTCATTCATGAGGGCTCATAAGCACCTCCCAGTGGCCCCACCTCCTATCATCTTTAAGAGTTAGGATTTCAACATCTGAATTTTGGGAGCACACAAACCTTCAGACCTGTGCACATGTGCTATACTCAGCAGCCAGGAGTGAGTTAGAGGGAGCTAAGGTATTGACCCTTAAAGTCTGCAGGTTGGAGGGGGAGACTAGGAGTCAAAGCCTTGGGACCGAGTCAGGTCTTGAACAGCCTATTCAGATTCCCCAGCGTATTCTGTACATATTCCCTTTTTCTGAATGTGCCTCACCTCCCCCTCCCATCCCCTCCAGACTCCTGGAGCCTCAATTCCAGCCTGAACTATATAGAAAAGGAGCTTTGAGTCCTATACAAAATTCTCTTTTGAAACCATTCTGCATCCCCTCACTGGCAGTAACTCAGGTTTCACTGAGGGATTCACATGGTAAATTTGTCTTAATGCTCCATCTGGGCTTAAAAATATTGTGTATCCTCTGATTGTTGGTCACAATGTTTTTAACACAACTTAGTAGGAATGAGGGCATTTGAGTTTGCCTATATTTGTCATGAAGGTGCATGTTCACAAGCACATCTTCTGCATCTACTATTGCTTCTAAGGACCACAGCCCTCTCCTCCTTTATGATATTCTCACCTCAAATTCAACTTTTATCAAAATTTGGGCTTAGATCTTTGTATTTGTATTTACCCTCTCTATTTTCTCCATCACTTTATTTTCAATATGTTTTGTTTGATGGGTTTTCTTTTTTGACATTAAAAATTTTATCTGACAATCTTTACTTTGATTTAATTATTGTTCTATTGATTTATTTCTGTCATCTACTCTATGGCCATACAACCCTGAATGCACCCGATCTCATCTATTTCTGTCATCGTATTTTATGCTTTGTTTCCTATACTTTATTATTTCTTTTTTCCCATCCTTTTGCCTCTTCCACTTTCTGGATCAAATGTTCTTCTGTTTGTTTGAAATTTGGAAATTTTTAGTACTGTAATGATTTTATATCATTAATTATATTAATTTCTTTCTTAGTTTCTTAACATGTGCCAATATTAAAATCATCTCAGCAAGCCAAGCAAATAGTCTCACCTGCTCTGATTTGGCTTTTTTCCATCATGACAGCCTTTATTTCAGGAAGTATTTTCTGGAGCTTTACTTCTTGGTTATTTAGAATATATTGCATTATCATGGATTTTTTAGGATATAATAACCATCACTAACATCAACCCTAGTTTCTACAAACTAATAGCATGTTCCCAGATTTATTTTTCTTCCTACTGGAGTATTTCCTCTAGGAATATTTTCTAACTGATTTACATAAAACTTTTGAGGCCTTATTTTCTAATAACAGCTTTTTCTGTGCCCTCATATTTGAAAGACCTTGGCTGCATATAATTCAAGGCTTAAAATTTATTTCCTTTCAATTCTTTAAACATATTGCCTCATTGTATTCTTGTCTCCACCAGTGCTGTTGAAAAGTCTGATGTCAGTCGAAATCAATTTTTCTTTAATGAATGATCTGACTTTTCATCATTTCGACAGGATATTACCAAAAAAAAGAACAGTGTAAATCACTTTGCAGCTATAAACTTAACTAAAATTTTAATGCAATATGAGAGGAATCAAAATTTTGAGACATTCAAGTGTACAGAAAAATTAACTATCATGCACTCATTCAGGGAAAAAAAATGAAAAAGAAACTTGATGAAAGGGGCAGTCATTAGATCCAAGTACCATTGGACGAACTTGAAATGAACATCCAGGAATTAATGCTGACAGTTGGCAGAGTGCTAGCGAACTGTCTCTCCAAAATTAATCATTTATCAAAGAGAATAATAAGACTTAAGTTATGTTGGTGATGGTGAAAAGATGTTACGTTTCTTTTTGATCATTCAAAATAAAGGTAAGTGAAACTTGTGGAAAAAAGAAATAATGTACCATAAATGTACAAAATTTGAGGAAAACTACCATATTTTTATGAATTTAAGATGACATCTATTATAGGTTGCATGCCTTTTCAGAAATATATTTTAAATTTTATGGCATATAATTTAAAAATAACATCATTTCAAACAATTAATGGAGGGAAAGAAGATAACTAACTTATCTTCTTGACTATTGGAACCTGGCTTTTTTTTTTTTTTGGAGGCTGTGGTATATGCACATATGATTTCGGTGCCTTCCTACAAATCAAATCATACCATCTGCACCTGTAGTTTAAAAAAACACATAACCATGATGCTGTCAATTCATTTGAGATTCCATGATCAAAATCAACCTATGGACAAAGCATGGAAGACTTTTCTATAATTACAAAAGGGAGCGTAAATTACTTAAGACTTTTCATATAAACATCTTTCATAAAAGTTGAAAGGCATGATGGGGAAAGTTGCATGGGAGGGAAGGTGGTCACTAATATCCACATTCTACTGAGCCAATCAATGTTGCTCAAAATGGACAGACTATATATTATTTCAGCATAATATTAAGCACAATAAGTATATATTTAGAGAAAGAAAGAAATTAAAAAACCTTAAAATTATAGGTTAAAGTACTTCTAGGAGAAAAAAGTGAGATAAATGAACTATATTCATAAGAAGTCAATAGATTTTATTTAAAATTGATAAAACAAATTAGATGATTACATAGTATTATTTAGTATTCAAGGGAATACTTCACAGTAAAAAGAGAAAATGATAAAAATTCCTTACTTCTGAAGAGCAGGACCAGGGGTCTGTGGAAGGAAAAAAGCATGTTTTTTGTTTTCATGTATGATTTTCCATGCACATGTATTGCTTCCATTTTAAAAATGTGTTACTTGTAGATCTCCTTGGAATAGTCCAAAAATGACATATATGTGTAAAATTAGGTTTCCTTTAGCCAAAAGTATATGAAAAGAAATTGACTTATCTAACATCTTATGATCCTTGAAGTTAGACATTTATAAATTATAATTTAAATTATAATTTTTGGAAGAACATAAACATACATAAAACAGCCATAACATGACACCTGGCTCTGTTTTCTGCTTATCTAAGAAGTAAAACTCATAATAAAAAATAATAATAGGGCTGGCCCGGTGGGGCAGTGGTTAAGTGTGCATGTTCCGCTTCGGCAGTCCGGGGCTCGCTGGTTCAGATCCCAGGTGCAGACATGGCACAGCTTGGCATGCCATGCTGTGGTAGGCATCCCACATAGAAAGTAGAGGAAGATGGGCACGGATGTTAGCTCAGGGCCAGTGTTCCTCAGCA